CGATAAAACAAAATTTTCTCCTGCAAACATGAAATGTTGATGAAATAATATGTTCATCAAACGGCAAACATAAAGCAGGAATGGATCAAAATATTACCACAATATCAACAATGTCGGCTATAAACAGCTTAGCACTGGTTATTGTGCTCTATGTTATATGGAAGATTGTACAGTCGTAGATTAAATCTTATAATGTAAACACGACCTTATTTTGTTGCTACTTGACAATGTCGTTGATGATGTCAATTTCGAGCCAAAATCAGCCGTTAAATCGGATAGTTTTCGGACAATTTAAATCATGCTATAAATAACTTTATGGGTTCTTCTGAAAATGATTAGGAGCCAATAACAATATATGAGGTTGCTGCACCATAAGTGATTCCATTATCATGGGATTCTTCCATCAAAAATGACTGATCGCCCTCCCAAACGAAGATGAGGATAATGAATGGGCCAGATCATCAACAAACTCTTCATCAGTAACAGATTATCAGAAGTGACAGAGTACAGCAATTTTGAAATATATAACCTTTAAACAACTATAATCTTTTTCCAAAACAACGTTTAGGAAGAATACAAACCAAGGTGGACTGAAGATAAAATCATGGATCTTGACTCAAACCTTCGAAAAGCAAGGCATTGAGATGCCATACTAGAAAAAGGGATCCCAGCCAAAAATTACTATACTCTGTTTTTAAACCAGGAGGAGTATTTTAAATTTGTCACCAGATTGACCTTGCACGTGATTGGTTGAATGCGAGGAAGGTTCACACACAGGCAATTTTGAATTTGAAGGTTAGGTTATTGACAATTCGACAGTTTCGTGTCATTATTGTAAATTTTGTGTTCTTAAACCCTTTCTTTATTATATTTTGAAGAAAAGAACAGAGGTTTGAAAAGAACAAGTTTGATCCTCAGCTTGTACAATGTGGAAGAGGTGGTATTTTAGGGGCGCATGGTCGGTCAGGAAACCTGAGAACGTCCTTCGATTCTCTTTGCTGACGCTACCTTTGAGGCCTCCTAAACGCCTAAACGATATTGTATGAAGAGGTTAGAAGCAAAAAGGCAAAGTGGAGAAAATCAGACTTAAAGTTTTTTGCTTTATAGTAAAATGCATATGACTGTTGTAATTTTGACTTTATCGTCAATATACATGCAGGATTTTGCACTTGTTTCCATATGCCATTAAACAATTCGACTCATAAATTACCCAAATCTGCACAAAACTCGTTTTGAGTCAAAAATGCAAATGTACCATTTTGTCTCGTATATACTTATATTAATCAGCTAAACCAAGTACACAATAAACCTTCAGCTGCCTCCAATAGTGCATCGTTGTTGGTTCATCCAGCTGCCCTTCATTAGATTATTTCTTCATTTGAAGTATTAGTAGTTGAATTGGGACCTTTCACTTCAAACAGTGCATTCTTTCTACACTAAGAAAGTATGGGATAAAGATTTAGACAGCCTATGAAGATATAATGTTGTATGCATAAAATTGTCAAATATACTGGGTTTTCCAAAATTAACGGATAAATTCGGTAAAACCATTAAAAACAGTTTATGGCAAAATCGCTGAGATTAAATTATTTGGTATAGATTTTAAATTTTTTCCGCCATTTTTAAACGAGTTATATTTTTGAAATAGCAATTCTCCATTTTTATTACGGAATATGAAAGAGGACTTTTTTCCGAATCTAGTACAATCAATATAAATATTGGTTACAGAAGAAAATTTTCGAGAAAAACTATCTTAAAGTTTCATTATTTTCCATTCATTGATAGAAAAATAGTAGTAGCCATGTGTAACCATGGCAACCAACTATATCAGATATAAAAAATTAATCATTGTCTCAATAGAATATCTGAAGCAACTGGTTACCATGGTTACGCATGGCTACTACTATTTTTGTATCGCAATGAATAAAAAATAGTGAAACTTTAAGATAGTTTTTCTCAAAAATGTTCTTATGTAACCAATATTTATATTGACTGTATTAAATTTAGAGAAAAGTCCTCTTTCATATTCCTTTCATTTAGAATTTTCTAAAACGATATCATAACGTTGTCCCACCTGAATTCCAATGGCAGTTATTCCGACAAGACGGCGCGCCACCACTCTTCAACAAGCTTTACTAAATCAGTTTTTGACACTTAGGAAATTATTTAAAATAATTGGTTGCCATAGTTACTCATGGCTACTGCTATTTTTATCATGTAACGCAAATTTGAAGAAGTTAATCTTTAAAGTAATTTTTCTCGAAAAATTTCTTATGTAACCAATATTAATATTGAGTGTACTAGATTCAGAAAAAGATCCTCTTTCATGTTTCGTAATAAAAATGGGGTATTGCTATTTGAAAAAACGCGATGACGTCATAATTTGTATAAACATGGCGGAAAATTGCAACAAATTTAAATCCTTAGACCCGTCTCAGCAATTTTTCCATAAACCGTTTATAGTTGTTTTAACGAATTTATACTTTTGGGAAGCACTGTATATTGAAAAAATAGAAAACCAGCAGAAATGCATTTAGGAGTAGCTTGTTGCATTGGATATCATAAGGAGGTTGCAAATATCAAGGAGAAATGTAACAACTGATATTTTAATGCAAGCCTTGACCTAGCCAGAGTATTGCAAAAAAGAAATCTTACACTACTCGGTACAATTCGAAATTCGAATTCCTATTGTCTTAAAAAAAGCAAAATTGTTACATAACTATCTACTATGCATAACATAATAAGAGTGAAATTTTAAAGATGAAAAGAAGATTTTGCAAGACAGTATACACCAGCCTCTTTGAACATATAGTGTCAAAAGGCAATCAAGAAGATGGTGAGTGGCCGAAATTTAAAATTCAAAAGTAAATTTCGTCCATAAATACAGATTTTCCTATACAGCTTATCAAAAGTTTTTGTACATAATTTCTTACCAAGTGAATTATGTTCCAACTTGATGTTATTTAAAGTATGTTCCATTTTGATACTATTTAAAGGATGTTCCATTTTTATATTAGGCGTTGAAGACGTTGAAATTCCATTGGTTGAATTTGCGGGTTCTTTATTGCTATTCTTCGGTTTCCTTTTTCTCGTCTAAAAAAATAATTTATAAATCAATTTTGATCAAAATTACCAACTAAGAATTTATTATGAACATCAATTTTTACCTGTATACTCTCTTTTTTCATTGCTTGAGGTCGATTAACGCCGTGCAATTTATAATAAAGGCCGCATGCGTTGCAAACTGGTTCACCCTGAGCGTTTCTGCGCCATAACGACGTCGTCGATGTGTGACAATTGGTGCAGGTTAATCCAACGCGTCTTGAAGCTGACTAATTATTATTAATGAAAAAAAAAGGAAAAGAAATTAGTTTTATTAAGATTATTTTTATTATATAGGAAATAAGTGTATATTTAATTGTTTCATTTTTGATTATTAAATGTACACTTTTGAACAACCTGGTATGTAGTAGTAAAGAAGATTAATACTAATAGGGGTTGGTAATAATAAAAAGAATGAAAAAATTTAATAAAACTAGAATGCTCCAAAAGTACTTATTTAAAAGTTTTTAGATGGACTGTAAAGTACAGAGTGTTAATTAATAATCGTATCCGACGTCATCATTGCAAGTATGCAACCAATATCACAGTGTTGGTATTGCAATACGCGATTTGCGTATTTGGTTGCATACTCGGGTACGATAATTAATTAACGCAGTGTATATTCTCATAAATTTAATTATATTAAAATTTATTTCTTGCTACTCCTAACAGTACCATCTCTATGTACCTTGCTATCAAATAAATTCTCAATTATCCTTATATAGATTTTGAAATATTCTGATGATGTACGAAATCGGTTAAAAATATAAAATAAGAATTTATTTGAGAACATGGTCCAAACAAATTCTAATCTAAATACAACTAATACTAGAAAAGTATAACTCTACAGAAATGAAGGAATTAAGGAGCATTCCGATTAAAAAAAGTAATTTGAAATCAAAACGGATTTGGTGTGACGTACCAAACGCCGATTAGACTTTTCTTCGGTGGTAGGCACGGGTCCGTGCGTACCATTAGAGTACCCATACCGGTAGTTCTTGTAGAGTTCTGCAACCCCCGCATGACCGGGCTCCGCCGCCACTGGAACGCAAAGAGAAACAGATTCGTTGTAACTTTTTTTTAGTAAGAATCAATCATGAATTATTTCGATTATTTTGATGTGAGATCTAAGGCGGCGTTTTTAATTAGAATGATCTTTCTTTAGCTTTATTTGGCAGCGTAGCCACGTTGTCACGAGGGGGCGTGCGTCACGTGACAGTGCATTACCAATCGGCGCGGCTGTTTCACCAACGGCCGGTTCATCCCGTTCATCTTGTGATACAGGCCGCACGCGTTGCAGAGGTAGTGTCCAGTGCCGTCGCGACGCCACAGAGGCGTGTCAATGGCGCCGCAATTCACGCACTCCCGCCCCTCCGTGAAGTATTCAGCTGATCTCGGGTCTACTATATTACAATATCAAAAACATTTCAAATAACAATTAATAAAATTAATAAATATGTATAGGTATATCCAATCAATTAGTTAGTTTTGTCTTATATGGTAGATGGTAAATTTCTAATAACGCCATCTAACGATCAAAGTCATATAAATTTATATAAATCATATTAAAAAAAATTCAAACTAAAACAGGTAGGAAAAAGAATTAGAGTGATCTTCATGATCTTCACTAAATGTTTCTCTTTCTGACAACTTTCTGACAACTATTCTGCCTTCATAAGGAAGAGTGCACCATCTTCAGAAAATGATTGTCACATTTACCTAACACATTTTTGAACATCTTTTGCGATATTTTAGACAGCTGCATCTGCAGCTTGAAGAATTAAATTTATGGCTTGATAATTGCTCAAGGCAGAATAAAAATTAGTGTTTTCTCAGATTTTAGCATTTACTCCAAATGCAACAGATATTTCATTTAGCCTCATTTTTACAATATTCTTGAAAACTATCCAATCAATGTATTATGTTGAATTATTATCTATCAGATGGATAATCCTTAAGATCCTTAAGGCGTGTCCAAAAAATTGCGGCTTTTGCACGACACAACTTTGCTATGTGTAAGTTTGGACATATCAAAGAATATTTGCGTGGCAGTTCTACGCAGCACACTTAGGTTGTATCCAAACTGTGTCCATTATTTGGAGATGTCTCTCAAAAAAAATTAGAAGAGCATGATTTTAATGATTTCTTATTGGCAGTTCAGAATGTTCTTAAAGACATTAACTACATAGACTTCTATCATTGGGTTAACAACCAAGACTTCTTCTCGGAGATATTGTTTGTCTGAAAGCAAATCGTGATCCAACACATTATAATATAAAGTGATGTGACCATGAAGAAAATAAGACATTAAATTTTATTAAAGCTACTAATATAAAAAATGATATACCTTATCCAGCAAAAAAAAAATAATGGCAAATAAACACAACAACTAGAAATTGATGAAATAGGAGATATAAGACAGTTTGCAAAAATTGTGGATAGACTTCATTCTACGTCCATGGCATAAAAAAGCTCTTCCTTGGTATATAAAAGCTGGCTATTATTGTTGAAAAGAAGTTAGGAACAAAAGAGTGTGTCAACCATCAAGGATATGCTGATATGCTTGAATGATGCTGATTTATATGGAAAGGTGAGATGAAAACCAAATGCAAAAAAAGCCAGAACCAAAAAATGAAAAGATTTTCCTTTTTAGAAAATCGTTGAATTTATATGGAGAAAGAAAAACGGAAAGCAGCATCTGAAGCATGGTGACGGATCTGTGATGGACTGGAGGTTATTTTCAGCTATTAGATGAACTTTGCATTTCACTGAGGATCAGAATCTATACCTATTTCTTAAGAACCTCTTTATTTCTTGGCAACGATTGCGATCCTACCAAAATCATGGCTAAAGAGCTACATGTAGTGCTTGGAAAATCCTTGGCTTAACAGTTGCGCAGAAGAAGGAGTTCGAGTAAATCGTTGAAGTGACATAGGCAATCTTGTGACATCGATAATTGCAGGTATAGCGCTCGCCAAAAACTTAGTACATACATGGTAATATCACAGCTTCTCAGAAATACATATCAGGTGAAGTTGTAGATGTTTTACTAATAAAAACAACAATATATATATATATTTTACTTTTTTTGGCCGAGGTTGCATGCAGCCAAAATGCAGTGATTAACATTATATCAACCTAAAACTGGTCATCATATTATTGTAACACTTCGGTCGCGAATGACCTCGGCTTTATTAAGTGGACTTTCTCAAAAGACGATTCTTTTCAATAATTAAGCCAAGGTCACTTACGGCCGAGGTTCAGTGATATATCAGATAAATTAATCAAGAGATTCTAAAACTGATCCTTAAGACGTGTCAAAAAAATTGCAGGACTCAATTTTGCTACGTGTAAGTTTGGACATATCAAAAAATATTTGCGTGGCAGTTCTACGCAGCTATGCTATGCAGCTTACACGCAGATCACTTAGGTTGTGTCCAAATTAAAGCGAAATACATGAATGCAAAAAGTTTTCACCATTATTTGGAGATGTATCTCAGAAAAATGAGAAGTGTATGATTTTAATGATTTCTTATTGGCAGTTCAAAATTTTAACAAAAAATGGGATAATTCTTAAAGNAAATTTAAAATTCAAAAGTAAATTTCGTCCATAAATACAGATTTTCCTATACAGCTTATCAAAAGTTTTTGTACATAATTTCTTACCAAGTGAATTATGTTCCAACTTGATGTTATTTAAAGTATGTTCCATTTTGATACTATTTAAAGGATGTTCCATTTTTATATTAGGCGTTGATGACGTTGAAATTCCATTGGTTGAATTTGCGGGTTCTTTATTGCTATTCTTCGGTTTCCTTTTTCTCGTCTAAAAAAAAAAATTTATAAATCAATTTTGATCAAAATTACCAACTAAGAATTTATTATGAACATCAATTTTTACCTGTATACTCTCTTTTTTCATTGCTTGAGGTCGATTAACGCCGTGCAATTTATAATAAAGGCCGCATGCGTTGCAAACTGGTTCACCCTGAGCGTTTCTGCGCCATAACGACGTCGTCGATGTGTGACAATTGGTGCAGGTTAATCCAACGCGTCTTGAAGCTGACTAATTATTATTAATGAAAAAAAAAAAAAGAAAAGAAATTAGTTTTATTAAGATTATTTTTATTATATAGGAAATAAGTGTATATTTAATTGTTTCATTTTTGATTATTAAATGTACACTTTTGAACAACCTGGTATGTAGTAGTAAAGAAGATTAATACTAATAGGGGTTGGTAATAATAAAAAGAATGAAAAAAATTTAATAAAACTAGAATGCTCCAAAAGTACTTATTTAAAAGTTTTTAGATGGACTGTAAAGTACAGAGTGTTAATTAATAATCGTATCCGACGTCATCATTGCAAGTATGCAACCAATATCACAGTGTTGGTATTGCAATACGCGAGTTGCGTATTTGGTTGCATACTCGGGTACGATAATTAATTAACGCAGTGTATATTCTCATAAATTTAATTATATTAAAATTTATTTCTTGCTACTCCTAACAGTACCATCTCTATGTACCTTGCTATCAAATAAATTCTCAATTATCCTTATATAGATTTTGAAATATTCTGATGATGTACGAAATCGGTTAAAAATATAAATAAAAATTTATTTGAGAACATGGTCCAAACAAATTCTAATCTAAATACAACTAATACTAGAAAAGTATAACTCTACAGAAATGAAGGAATTAAGGAGCATTCCGATTAAAAAAAGTAATTTGAAATCAAAACGGATTTGGTGTGACGTACCAAACGCCGATTAGACTTTTCTTCGGTGGTAGGCACGGGTCCGTGCGTACCATTAGAGTACCCATACCGGTAGTTCTTGTAGAGTTCTGCAACCCCCGCATGACCGGGCTCCGCCGCCACTGGAACGCAAAGAGAAACAGATTCGTTGTAACTTTTTTTTAGTAAGAATCAATCATGAATTATTTCGATTATTTTGATGTGAGATCTAAGGCGGCGTTTTTAATTAGAATGATCTTTCTTTAGCTTTATTTGGCAGCGTAGCCACGTTGTCACGAGGGGGCGTGCGTCACGTGACAGTGCATTACCAATCGGCGCGGCTGTTTCACCAACGGCCGGTTCATCCCGTTCATCTTGTGATACAGGCCGCACGCGTTGCAGAGGTAGTGTCCAGTGCCGTCGCGACGCCACAGAGGCGTGTCAATGGCGCCGCAATTCACGCACTCCCGCCCCTCCGTGAAGTATTCAGCTGATCTCGGGTCTACTATATTACAATATCAAAAACATTTCAAATAACAATTAATAAAATTAATAAATATGTATAGGTATATCCAATCAATTAGTTAGTTTTGTCTTATATGGTAGATGGTAAATTTCTAATAACGCCATCTAACGATCAAAGTCATATAAATTTATATAAATCATATTAAAAAAAATTCAAACTAAAACAGGTAGGAAAAAGAATTAGAGTGATCTTCATGATCTTCACTAAATGTTTCTCTTTCTGACAACTTTCTGACAACTATTCTGCCTTCATAAGGAAGAGTGCACCATCTTCAGAAAATGATTGTCACATTTACCTAACACATTTTTGAACATCTTTTGCGATATTTTAGACAGCTGCATCTGCAGCTTGAAGAATTAAATTTATGGCTTGATAATTGCTCAAGGCAGAATAAAAATTAGTGTTTTCTCAGATTTTAGCATTTACTCCAAATGCAACAGATATTTCATTTAGCCTCATTTTTACAATATTCTNAAGGAATTATCTCCAATTAGTTTCAGTGAAGATGCCGCGTTTTTCCTTACGAGGGTAGTATTGAACTGAGAAAATTGCTCATTAATTATTCTCATGGACAAAAAGTCAATAAAAGTTGGCAAAAACTGTGGATAAACTTCATTCTACGGTCCATGGCATAAAAAGGCTTTTCCTTGGTATATCAAAGATGGGAAAGAAGTTAGGAATAAAAGCGACTGTGTCAACCATCAGGGATATGCTTTATGATGCTGATTTAAATGGAAAGGTGAGATGAAAACCAGAAGTAAATAAAACCAGAACCTAAAGATGAAAAGATTTTCCTTTTTAGAAAATCGTTGATCTGAGATCAACTGTGAAGTATTGTGACGGATCTGTGATGGTTATTTTCAGCTATTAGATCTGGACCTTTGCATTTCACTGAGGATCAAAATCTGTAGCTAGATTCTTAACAACCAATTTACTTCTTTATCCTTTGGCAAAGATTAGCGATTCTACCAAAATCATGACTAAAGACCTACAAAGTACGCGCCTGGCTCTTAAATAATTGTTCTCATGTACTGCTTGGTAAATCTTTGGCTGAACAGTTGTGCAAAAGAAGGAGTTCAATAGTAAATCGTTGAAGTGGCATAGGCAATCTTGTGACAAATATAACAATGTTACAGCTTCTCAGAAATACATATCAGGTGAAGTAGATGTTTTACTGGAAGCCTTTACGGCTCGTGGAATATTCCGCGCTTTGATACAAGTGGGTTAAGCCGAGGTTGCATGCACCTGAAGCGCAGTGATTAACATTATATCAACCTAAAACATGTCATCATATCGTAACACCTCGACCACGAGCAGATTCGGCTTTAGGCCTGTTTTGGTTCAAGAGTTCTGTAGTTCTGAATCTTTCTGCGCATACATATTTCATATTAAATGTATACGCAGAAAGGTTTAGGACTGTTTGGAATTGCAGAACTCATGGACCAAAACAACCTTTTATCAGATGAAATTGACTAATTAGGTTATGGTCCCAATGTTCTACATGAAATACAGGGTTAGGTAGGGAGATATGGATGATTTGAACGTGGCGCCACGCACGGTGGGGAGAACCTTGGTGGATAAAGAGTTATTAGTAACAATGGAGACGTGGTCGAGTATCAACCTCAATACTGTATGGTTTCAACAAGATGAGGCGACATGCCATACATGCAATTCTTAAGGCAGATCTTTCCTGGACGTCTCATTTCATTGCGTGGAGATGTGGAGTGGCCTCTTCAGTCATTGGACCTGTCACCTTGTGAACAAACCACGTACACTTCAAGGTAAGCTAAGCTTTTGTAATGGCAACATTCAAGCTACACATTGAAACAATAAAATTTGCCTAACCCTGTACATACACGAATACTTTTGTTGGCCATTGTATACGAT